AGAATTTAGGATTATTTTAATGTTACATCATTACCTTTTCTCTTTTACTTTCCTTTTTAGTTTTATTTTAGGATTCCCTATTTTTAATGGTCATACAGAGATTTCTTTAACTGAAATACCGAATAGTTTCTTTGGTGTGAAAAACTATAATAGTACACAGGACCCTAACGAGATAATTAATAATGTGAAATAGGAAGTAAAGGGCTAAAGGTGTAGGGAAAGTGTGAAGGGTGGGGGAAAGGTAGTAAGGGAGAGGAAAAAAATATGAGAAACTGAAAAAATGGAAACAAAGTGTTTGTAAATGGGGAGGGGAGGAGGGGATGAAGGGAGGGCAGGGACAAAGGGAAAAAATGAGAATCAAGACCTATTATGTAAAAGTGCAGGATCCCAATGATGAATGCAACTGTATTGTATACCTAGATTGTACCAATAAACTCAATTTAAAAAAAAAGAAAAGAAACATTAGCTACAGAGGAAGAGTATACATGAGACAAAAAATTTCACAGAATGTCAAATATTAGTTGTGAGCTAAGTTTCAGTTTAGGAAAAAAATATTCCCCAGTTTGCAGGAATGAAAGGCCTCCCCATAAGTGCCTGCTTCTGTGCAGCGTCTCTCTCTCTCTCTCTAGCACCATAATCACCTCAGCTCGGTCCCACAGCCAGAAATCATCTTCCAGCCTCCAACCAGAAAAATGCCCGGTGTAGTTCACTTTCCAACAGCTCTACCACTTCAAAACTTTTACCCCAATTTCTCCAACAAATCCCTATACTCAGTTCCCATCCATCTGGTTCTGGCCCTTCCCAAGGACAGTGGCCGATACCAAGCAGAGTAGGTTAGTTCTAAAGATACCAAAGGCCACCCTGCTGCCACTGTCCTGAGCCTCCATGTTTAGTGAGAGGACTTAAAGGTGTCTCCTACATGTTCACTGAATCATTTAGGCTCAATGCAATGGTCGTCTCTTTCTGCACCCTCCATAACGGGGCCAAAGCAGAGCAGAAAAGCAAACCTCTCCTTCTGCAATCCCTTCTACATCTATTGAGCTATCCCAGTGTCATGCTTGGTTTGGTTTGGTTTTGCTGTTTTCATTTTTGTTTTGGCCAGCTCCTTTTCCTGACTTCTTGGCTTCCCAGCTTCCAGCCTCACCTCTTCTGTCCAATGATGACTGCTCACAGATGAAAGACACACACATGAGCAGGAAGACGTTTTTATGGGAAAGTGTTCCAGAATGGAAAGGAATTGCTACAAGACAGGATGATGTGGTCGAAATTCAAACTTCTGAGTGTCAAGTGTTTTTAACTGACAAGTTGGAATTGGAGCTCTATTCCTCCTTTCCAGTTTTAGAACTAGGTGTGTATTTTCATAGAAAATTTCAGGCAACACCTTTGATTATTGAGACAGGTTAAGCACTGAATTTCATATTTTCTGCAGTGGTTTTTGCACATGCCTTGATAAAGCTCACATGGATTCCAAGGCTCTTGGTTCCTGTCATTGTGGTGTTTGAAGAAACCATCTGGGAAAGACATAGCCATGGTTAGTTTGCATGTAACAGTAACAACGGGAGTAAGGAAGCATGACTACAAGAGAACACCCCCAAGGATATTAAGAAGACAGAGTATGGAGTCAAAAGGATTTTACCGAAAGTGACTCAAAAAATAAATAATTAAAAAAATAAAGCCTTTGTCAAAGACATATGTACAGCTTTCCTAATCCGACACTGCCTTGCACTACACAAGTTGTAACACCCGCACCATATTAATGTCACCTTTGATGATCTTTCCATCTGTAAATTGAAGTCACGGGAGATCTAACTTTGAATCCCAGCATTGCCTCTGCTCCTTTGTACAATGTTGTGTTTCAGCTCTCTGACGCTGAGCCCCCTGTGTGGGAAAAGGAGGTGGGAGGGAGAGTTTGGAACAGATCAAGAGATCTCGGCTGTGTTTGTGAAGGACGAGGTAAAAAAGATGTCATATTTTGTAATAACCAGGGAATTTTTAAATGTATTCACATCAGGGACATCAGGACTCTCAGAAGTTCTGATTTAGGATCACCCGGCGGCGTGCGCATGAGCTCCCGGCCTGCGCGGGAGCTCCCGGCCTGCGCGACAACAGACCAGGAAGGCCCCAAAGACCCTGGAGGGGGTTTCTTCAGCTGCCTGTCTGCCTGCCTGCCTGCGATCACCCAGCGGCATGCGTGC